GTTAGCCATGCTTTCTAAGGCCCACTTGACTTCACTCTCCAGGATGTCTGGCTCAAGGTCAGCTACCACATTATCTGGGTTGTCCGGGATATCTAAATCTTTCTGGTATAATTCCTCTGTGTATTCTTGCTTCTGCTGGGTCCTTCCCATTTTTGTCCTTTATCATGTCCATCTTTGCACAAAATGTTCCTTTACTATCTCTGATTTTCCTGAACAAATCTCTGGTTTCCCCCGTTCTATTATTTTCCTCTATTTCTTTGCACTATTCATTTAAGAAGGCCCTCTTGTCTCTCCTTGCTATTGTTTGGAAGTCTGCATTCAGTTTTCTGTAACTTTGCCTATCTCCCTTGCATTTTGTTTCCCTTATCTTCTCTGCTATTTATAAGACCTCGTTGGACAGCCACTTTGCTTTCTTGCATTTCCTTTTCTTTGGGATGGTTTTTGTCGCTGCCTCCTGTACAATGTTATGAGCCTCTATCTAAAGTTCTTCAGGCACTCTGTCCACCAAATAGAGTTCCTTAAATTTGATCTTCACTTCCACTGTGTATTCATAAGGGATTTGGTTTAGATTATAGCTGACTAGCCCAGCGGTTTTTCCTATTCTCTTCAGTTTAAGCTTGAATTTTGCTATGAGAAGCTGATGATCAGAGACACAATCAGCTCCAGGTCTTGTTTTTGCTGGCTGTATAGACAGCTTCTCCATCTTTGGCTGCAGAGAATATAATCAATCTGATTTCGGTATTGCCCATCAGGTGATTTCCATGTGTAGAGTTGCCTCTTGTGTTGTTGGAAAAGAGTGTTTGCGATGAGCAACTTGTTCTCTTGACAAAACTCTACCAGCCTTTGCCCTGCTTTGTTTTGAACTCCAAGGCCAAACTTACCTGGTGTTCCTTTTATCTCTTGACTCCCTACTTTACCATTCTAATCCCCTATAATGAGAAGAAGTATGCTTCTTTGTTATTTGTAAGTGACCTTGCGTCCCTTTACTGGGAGAACAGCAAGGTAGAAAAGAAATGAGATTTCATAAAGATGGCAATCAAATTCTTCTGAGTGAACTCAAGAGACAGCGACCTTGATAGCCACGATCACTACAGGTTGTTCCAGAAAGGAGCACTGTAGGACGGCCAGCCTGTTTTTCTCTTCGGGGGAATGAGATGACAAGGTTCCAATTCACACACACTTGACATCCATCCCTACACAGCTGCTGTATATGGTTCACCCAAGATACAGAAACCTCATGTCAACAGGAAGATCATCACCACTGATAAAGCACAGAAACCTATTTTTGGAAAGGCCTTTTCACATAATCTATCACAGAGTAATGTCAGAATGTAATTCTTACACCTTGACTCAATTTCTCAAGAAAGATGTAAAATTTTTTTTAAAAGGCATATAGAATTTAGGTCTAGTTCTAAGCCAGTAAAAAAACCAACCAACCAACCAAATAAACATATTCAAAGAAATAAAACTTTTATCTTTCCGAACATCTCCTACCAACATAACAATTCAGGAGGTTACTCTTTCTAGTTTGGATTAATATAGCAGTTCAGTCTTTAAGATGCCCCCACATTTTTGTCTTCTTTACTTTTTATTTTTTGCCTGAAATTCAGGAGGTTGGCATCCATATACCTACGATTTCAAGCCATTCCCATATTGCCCAATCTGAGTGGATTCCGGTGAGCGCTTAGCAGATTTACCAAACTGGATGACACTTGCAGCATCATCTAAAAACAAGCAAAATCAAGGGTGTCAGTACCTATATTGTAAACATCACTGGTTTCTTTCCACTGTGTCAGATCACTACATATCATGTTCCTTAGAACAAAGCATAAGGATTATCAGTCTAACACACAACCCTTACATTCTGAAGGACACCTAGAATCTTCCAAATATGACTGTTATTGATCTAGTTTTTTTAAAAAAGCACACACACCCTTAAATCTGCTATAGCATATCTAAAGTGGCAGAAAACTGTTAGTAGGAATTTCCACTAGAAACACCAGGAGTCATACAAAGACATCCTGTTATGGCATAAACCACCATTGTACTGCAGAATGCAATAAGATTTTGGCTTACTAAACCTTGCTACTAGAAACCTTGGACCAGAGTCAAGATTTGAACTTAGCTAAAGCATATAGGACAGATAGCCGTCAAACTTTCTCAGGTGCTTCCAGTGTTGGAAGCTCACATCTCCTGAGGTAATCGGTTCCATTGTCATACTGCTATAACAGTTATAATTTTTTTCCTAATTTCCAACCGAAATCTGGCTTCCTGTAACTTGAGCCCCTTATTATCCTACACGCTGGGATGATTGGGAACAGATTTCGCCCCTTTTGTACTATAATTTTTCAAGTATTTGAAGAATGCAATCATATCTCCCCTCAGTCTTCCTTTTCTAAAGGTTAAACATGCCCAGTTCTTTCTGTCTGTCCTCCCAGGGCTTGGTTTCCAGTCCCCGGATCATCCTTGTTGCCCTCCTCTGAACTTGCTCCAGTTTGTTGGCAAACTTCTTAAAGTGTGGTGTCCCGAACTGGGCAGAATACTCAAGGTGAGGTCTAACCTGTGCTGAATAAAGGGTAACTAGTACCTCACAGGATTTGGAGACTATACTTCTGTTAACACAGCCTAAAATAGCATTTGTTTTTTTCCAGCCACATCACACTATTGACTCATACTCAGCTTGTGATTTACTACAATTCCAAGGTCCTTCTCACTCATAGTATTATTGAGCAAGTATTCCCCATCTTGTAACTGTGCATACAAGGTTTGTATAGTTTTTGTCTGCTCTGCTACACTGATGGGGTCTCACCCTCTGAAAGTGATCGAAAACAGTTTAAAATAATGTTTGTTTTTAAGCCTTAGTTACTAAAAAAATCAGGATGTGGTGGCGCTGCGGTTAAACCGCAGAAGCCTCTGTGGTGCAAGGTCAGAAGACCAGCCGTCATGAGATCGAATCCACATGACGGAGCTCCCGTCGCTTGTCCCAGCTCCTCCCAACCTAGCAGTTCCAAAGTATGCAACTGTGAGTAGATAAATGGTACCACTATGGTGGGAAGGTCACGCCATTCCGTGTCTAGTCGTGCTGGCCACGTGACCATAGAAACTGTCTACGGATAAACGCTGGCTCTACGGCTTGGAAACGGGGATGAGCACCACGCCCTAGAGTCAGACACGACTGGACTCAATGTCAAGGGGAACCTTCACCTTTCTCAAAAACAGGTTGTTTCTTGTAACACCCACTCTTTGAATAGCCTTCTTTTCTGATGGAGGTCTCAGAACTACCTCTTTTGAAATCCTTGAGACTGAGAACTCCCCTCCATGGGACAACCCCAGGACAGGTTTCTTCCCTCCATTTACACATTTTAGACATCACAACTGCCAGTATCATTTCATTGAAGTTGCTGAACAGGTGAGGAGAGTCATGAGAGTCATGAACAGGTGAGGAGAGACTTGTATGAATGCACAGAAGACAATTCAAAGAACAGACCGCTACAAGAAGCAACCTTTTTTTTCTTTATCGTGGTCCCTATGCCTTCATGTTGATGAGTGAATAGCCAGCAAGCTTATCAACGGCGCCTACTCAGCTCCAGCAGCTGCGTAGGTGCCTGCAGTCGCTGCAACACAGCGGAAGTGACCCACAGTGTATTGCCATCCAAGCAATAGTGCCAAATAATGGTTGATGGTTGTGATGATGTGGTAGCTCTGCACAACGCCCATAAGGAAACTCCCTGAAAAGAAAAGGTGTCGAGGTGGCCAAGTGTTTGTGGAATGGCTCCTAGGTTTGATTGAAAGTTTCTTGGTCTGTTTGTAAGTCATTATATTCGGCTTAACAACCCAGTACTGGGCAGAAGTGGTTTATGCCCAAAAATATGCAACATGAAGTTGTAGAATTTTTCTAAATTCAGCTGTTCTTTGCCCATAAAAGGTCAAAGCCTTCCGTCAGACAACAGAATTGAAGGAGATGGAAAAACCATTAGCAGCATAACATTCTGCAGCAAGGGGAGTTCTGGTACTAAAGAAGCATCATTCCATGCAGGAGCTTATCTCAAGTGCAGTGAAGTTATGGCTTGTCTGAAAGGGCTAAACATTCACATGAAACCACGCCAACTGTCTCACTAAATCAATACTCTGTCTTTCTCACAATATTGGGATTCAAAGCAGTTCATATCCTGCTTAAAAGCTGATGATTTTATCAAGCAATCTTCTCAATTCAGTCATTCATCACTGTTTTTCTAACTGCAGCTGAGAATTCCTACAAAAAAATATACTTTCTTGGTAGCACACGTTTCATTGTTTATTCTTTAAAAAGCACCAGCAAACCATTTTTTACTTAAAGATGACTTCTGAATACACACCAATGCTCTATTTAATTATACTAAAGCAATGGGTTATCTTTGGGCAGCCATTGCAACCAGTTGTAAATTATATACATATGTACGTAGATGCACAGACATAAAGGAGATTTTCCTCTACACTATTTTACTTACTTGGATCCATGCCTGCGCCATCATCTAAAAAACACAGCATGAATCCCCCTCTCAGATCCTCTCGGCGTTCTAGAAGAGAAGAATGATCGTTTACCATTCTTGCCTGCCTTTGGTAGTTAGGCCAAACATTGTCGCTGCCCCTTGGGGTCCCTGACCTCACATTTTATAAAAGATAAGCCCATTCCCCATCTGGATGGAATGGAGGAGTCATCCACCCGGCTGTACCAGCCTGCTGAATCCTGTGAAAGCACATGATTCTAATCCTGTTCCTTGGTTCCCAAACCAGGGAAGAAGTCCGATGCTCCTTTTGTTAAGCTTGCCAGAGAATGATGCAACACCTGCTCTAACAAGTACAACAGTGGATCCAATTCAGTGCCAAACCTGAAATGGCAGGGAAGTTTAAAATGGCATAGGCTGGAAACCAGAACAATATCCACTACTTCAGAAAAGGAAGATGGCATGTGTAGCACAGCTTATTAAACTAGACAGCCATCAGCAATAAGGGCTAGTAAACCCAACTGCAATGCTGACATGATACTCATGACAAATCATTTTACCTTTGTGATATCTATCCACCAAATTAGCAAAATGAGAGGATACACATGTAAACTCTGATTCTGTAAAACCTCAGGTATTGAAATAGTAGTAATTCTATGCACCTAGTTTTTCCTAAACCATGCACAGCATTTGTATTTTGTCATTGCAATACATAGCAGTAGACGGAAATGTTTAAAGGCAAGTTAAAACTGGTATTAGATAGAAAAAAACCCTCAAGCATTCGGGTGCATGGGCTGTGCTTGCCAACCTCAAAACTTGATAATGTGAGAATGTGTATTTCAGACTTGTAGCTAGATCTTTAAATGGCGTACAAGTAGCACCTGGAACAACCCCACCCCCTGTTGTGTCAAATAATTGAGTGTATTTTGCACAATAGAGTGTTTAAAAATCAATGCAATAATACTTTCCCACTAAACTTTTTCTTACTGAGACATTTAACATAGGATAATACTGTGTACCCTTGCAAAATTATTTGAACGTGGAGCTTAGCAATCAATGATAAGTTAATGTGCGAAATGAAAATAAGAAGAGGAATTGTAAATTCTAATGATTTTAAAGATGTATGGAATTCATACTTGGAACATGTTTTTTTGAAGGGGAAGGGCAATATGCCAGCAAAAAAATCGATATATTTTTGGAGAGTTATGGGGTGAAAAGGGATATAAATGATACTTCTGAACACCTAGTCCCAAGGGTGAAGGTGGCACGGGTCCAATGTGTAATTATAAAATTGTATTTTAGTTTTTAACAAAAAATTTTTTAACTTACCAGCAAATATATCTATTCTTGTGGCATCCGCATCTCTACAAAACAGCAAATGGTAAAGCTAGTTTTCAAAATACCACATGAAGATGAAAGACTCTAATGCCTGCCTAAATGCAATTAATATTATAGAATCATAGAAAAGTGAAGTTGGAAAGGGCCTACAAGGCCATCAAGTCCAACCCCCTGCTCAAAGCAGGAATACCATCAAAGCATATCTGCCAGGTGATTTTCTTGAATGTCTCCAGTGTTGGAGCACTCACCCACTCATGAGGTTGCTGGTTCCACCGTCGATCTTAGTTACCATTTTAATATAGTACTTGTTTAATTCTTTTTAAAGGTTTGTATGCTTACAGTTTTAGCTTTTAAATATTGTTTTAATGATGTAAGCCGCCTTGAGTCCTTTTGGGGAAAAAGGCGGCATAGAAATATTTTAAATAAAGAAATGATGAATACAGTGGTGCCCCGCATAGCGACGATAATCCGTTCCAGGAAAATCGTCGCTATCCGGAACGAAAAACCCCATAGGAATGCATTAAACCCAGTTTATTATGTTCCTATGGTGGAAATACTCACCACTATACGGAAATCCTCCATCCGGCCGCCATTTTCGCCACCCGGTATGCGAGGAAACTGCATGAAAACGCTGCGGGTGGCTGTTATTTACCCGGCAGCCATTTTGGAATCACCGATCAGCTGTTTGCTAAACATCGCAATGTGATAATCGGTAAGCAAAACGCTTACCGATCATTGCAATGTGATTTTTAGCCATTAAAACCGTTGCAATGCGATCGCAAAATCCACATCGCTATGCGGATTCGTCGTTAAATGGGGCGCTCGCTATGCGGGGCACCACTGTACATAAATTTCAGTGCGAACTGAAAGGGATAGGAATTATTACAGCATATAGATGCCTGAACAGGAGCCCTCCTCAAGGGTGCCTTCTTATTTTATTCACTTCTGATCAATGAAAATAGGTGTACTATATAACAATGTTAAGGACTGACTTGTATTCAATGTTGTAAACGAAACGAATCCTTACCAGCATAACCAACGTAAAACTCAGTATTCAGCTGTTACAGTGAAGTAGCATATTTCTCAGCCACTTTTATTAAATTTGGGTCTTAAAGGCAAAGAGGCCTCCTTAAACAGCCAGAGGCAACTGGAACATGATTAACTGTTCTCTGTGCCTAGTGGAAGCATAATATGAGACAGACAAAAGGCCTCAGTCACATCCCAAAAAGTGCTCCAGGACTGAAATACCATATATTTTACTAAGCACGGCAACCTCATCTTGTTTTGCACTGCAGATAACTACTTTTATAAGTACAAAAATGCATTTGTGATTGCAGCTAACCTCTCAATACAGAAAGACATCTGAATAGCTGCTTTAAGGCGACCCAAGTTCATTGGAAATTGTTTCATTATTTATACTTCCAAGCTCCTCCACAAGTTATGTGTTTACAGTATTTTTTTAAAGCTTTGGATCTCAACAGCAAACCAGGAGAAACAAACGACAGCCCTTCACAAAATTATCATTTCAGAAGAAATAGAAACTCTTCATCATTGCTAGAACCAATCTGTTGGCTATCACACTATTTCAATCAGATAGATTTGAACGCCATTCATCATAATGCAAACTGTTGAGTGTGGAATGAAGCTCAACATTTAAAAAAAACTAAGATCATGGCAACTGGAGCCATCACTTCCTACTCGTATCACCCGATCTAGTCAGGAGGGGCGACTGAGGAGCCGAATGCCAAGGGAAACCCGGAAAGAAAAAACACTGCCTTCTTGGCAGTGGCTCCCAGGCTCTGGAACACGCTCCCCCCTGAAATTCGTCTGGCCCCCTCACTGAGCATTTTCAAAAACCAGCTCAAGACCTGGTTATATAGACAGGCCTTCCCTCCAGGCACTACGTAACTTTCTCTCTCTTTCCATCTTTATCTACTCTGTTTTTGTAAATGTTGGAAATTGTTATTTCATATTGTTTTTATTCTGTGTTTTGTGAGCTGCCCAGAGTAGACTATGTCTAAATGGGCGGGATATAAGCTCAATAAATAAATAAAAGCATGTATACATACACATACAGTCACACACTTCTTATAGGATGTCAGATTTAATGTAGCCAGAGAATCACCTTAAGTACTCTGAACAGGCCCTTCCTATAGGATGAAGTCATCACTCACACATACAGTGTGCATCTACACAACTTCTAACTATGTTATCGGCCAGAATCCTGTTGTGAAACACTCACACATACAGTGTGCATCTACACAATTTCTAACTATGTTATCGGCCACAAGACACAACTTGTGGCAGAAGTCAAACCTGACATATTCATCCATACCACTTGAATGGAAAATTATGACCCAACTGAACAAGCCATCCACCTAAACAAGCACCTGCTGCAGTTACAGCCTTGGTCACATACCTGGCATTATCTACAAGCTCAGCAAGGGCACCAAACAAGAATTCATGGGTAGTTCTGCAACATCAAACAGAGTCAGTGAAATTACATAGATGCTAAGAAATGTTGTAAAAATTATATATTTCAAACTGTGTCATCAAAATGGCTTAAATATAACAAGGACCATTTCTGAAGTTGAGATGAAAAATGAAGTTATGTGTTTATATTAAGACCATAAAACAAAGCAGCCACCACCTTCGCTGTCAAAATGTTCAGTATACCATATTTTTCACTCCATAAGACGCACCTGACTATAAGACGCACATAATTTTAGAGGGACGAAAACGGGAAAAAAACTTCTGGCTGTCTGGGTGGTGCTGCGGTACCTTCCCTGTGGTCTGGGTGGTGGCAGGAACCATAGCCCAAGTAGTAATCATGGGCTCCCCACTCTTGTTTATCGTTACCTGGTTCCCCCCGCACACCCTTATTTTGGGGAGAGCGCAGAAGAGACACCTCAGTCAGTCCCTGATGGGCGTCCTGAGAGACAGGAGAAAGAAAGGAGGGAGGTGGGAAGGGAAGAGGAAGGGGGAAGCGTGAAGAGGAGGAGCTGCAGCCGCCGTGTGAGCAAACGAAGGGCTGACAGGGCGAAAAGCAAGGCGAGGGCAAGAAGAAAGCTGAGACAAATGAGCAGAAGAGAGGAAAGCTATGGAGGGGAGGAGTAGCTTGTTGCGCTCCCCCATTTCAAGTCTCCCCCACATCGCATTCCGCTGCTGGTGGTGGTGCGGGATAGTGGCAGGTGCCCCTCTGACATTCAGGTCCCGGCCTAACGAGGACGTGGAGAGATGAGAGAAACCCGGAGTGGGGGGTCAACGGAAAAGGAGGAGTACAGCGGCATAGGTTCTGGGAGGTCTGCACCATTTTTTACAGTATTCGCTCCATAAGATGAACACACTTTTCCCTCCACTTTTTTGGGGGGGAAGGGGAAGTGCGTCTTATGGAGCAAAAAATACGGTATATTCAAGGCTGCAGTGAGGTTCTAACAAGACTAATTCAGAATCCGAACATGGATTAAATGAAAATTTTCCCTGAGAACATGCAAGTGCTATCAGATATCAAGAGATGTTGCATAATTTTTGATCAGACATTTCAGATAATCATTCTTAATATCTAGCACATATGTAGCATTAAGAGGTTTGTCTTTGCTAATCAACTTTTGATTTCACAGATCAGATTTCCAGAAATGGAAATTCTGGACGTCCAAGTGATCACGAATCTTCTTCACAGAAACACATCTTGACAAATACTGCTAATGTAGAAATAAAAAGTACTAATCCATGGTTGCATTGGGTCTCTCAGTGCGGTAGAAAAATATTCCTTCTGTGTCAGGCCCATCAACTTCGGTCACTCTGTTTGAAGATTCCTAAACTTGGTATCCTTGCAACTGCTACTGCAACCTCCTGAGGAAGCGCCCAGTTGCAGAGATCCTGCTTTCGTCTTTTCCTTACAGAAGGACATCCATGTTTGTGTATCCGCAGTTCCTATGCATTCCTGTATTGTCTTCTTACCGTTGTCAGTTAGTACACCGTTGTCTCATCCTTTATCAAAGGATTTTGCCAAATGCAACAAATCTTTTTTGAATGTATCCCCGCAATTTCTTCTCACTACTCTCCATAGAAGCACTGGCTTTCCATGGTATCCTGGCACTTATAACATGACGCAACAGAACAACTGCTAAAGCTTAATCCATAAAAAAGACAGAAATTTCAGGAAATGGTTTATAGAGCAGTGATACTTCACTCTGAAGACTCTACATATAGCACTTAACAGCTAAAGTCATGTAGCATAGCAATGCATGTCTAATACACAACTGTGGAATAGAAAAAAGTGGTAGGATGGAAAAAATATCCACATCACACATCCGCAAGAATGCTGAGCAAAAGTCTTGATGGAAATAACACGATTAACTGTGCAACTGTGATATGAACGGTGCAATAATGAACAGTATAATCAGCTGTGCAATGCTGGTTCCCTGGGCAGAACGCCTGACACATGTCTGCAGATGTAACTTGATGTTATGCCAGCTTGAAGAGAATTTCAGCCAATATTTTCAACAAAAGCACACAACTGATAGCAAGAAGTATTGTATACTCTATTTGGCAGCGAGCTCTGCAATCCAGTAGCACCTCGGTTTCAATAGACTTTGCCTCAAAATAAGACTGGTTAAGGACTTTACCTTAGATTGCTAGCTGTACTGAGGTGCTTCACAAATAAACGTCACCATTTTTCAAGGACTTAAGAACAATCCTATATATGTTTGGTCAGTAGTAACTGCCACTAGATTCAGCTAGAATGATGCCAGAGAAGCCAAGCATCACTTGTCAGCCCTTTGTATTAGCTTGCAAGTCCTGACACAAATTAGTGTTATTTCATCTTGATTTTGTCATCAACTCTGGTTATTACCCAAGTTTCATCACAGAAAGGGGACACATAAAAGACGGGGTCCTGCTTTCCCTTTCTAGTTACCTGTTTTATCCCTGTAACTATATGAGACATTACACACATACATATGCATGCACACACATTGACCAAACAAAGCGTTTACTCAAATACCTGAAGAGTTAACTGGCTTCCATCATCCCTGTAATCAGTATTTCTAATTATGGCGTTTTATCCATCCTCCTAGCTGATCTTTCAATGTACAAGAAACTCTGGAACTAATAGAACATATCTCGTGAAGAAGTTCCTTGAATTATGCAGCTCAGTGACTTGGACACCCGGCTGCAGAACCAAAGGTCAAGAGTTCAATTCTTCGCTGTGCTCCTGGAAGAAGAGACAGCTCTGAGTAGCTTTGGGCAAGCTGCACAGTCCCAATTTCCTAGACTTGTTTCAAATTGATCAGTTTTTATTATAAGCCAATAATTCCTTTACAGATAAATTACACTGGCTAAAATCCTGCTAGTTATGTTTGTTGGCATAACTCATCGGCATAAATTTTCAATTTAATAATTTACGGTTCCCACCACTGAACACTTTTTCTTGAATGAACACCTTAATGTGGTGAGATGTTCTGAATGGGCCAGGCCAGATGACAGCAATGCCTTCAGAAGGCATGGCCCAGGATGCCTAGCAGACTCACCTAAGGCAGAAAGGTCTAAGCTGGAAGATCACACCACAACCCCCTTCTAGAACCAGCCCAATCCAGATATTTGAGTCCCGCTTTCTACTAAGCACCTTTTTCATTTTGACAGGATTTAATTTCTGCTTGTTCATGCTCATCCAGCCCATTATTGAGCTCAGGCAAATGAGCTCAAGTCCTGACTGCTTCCTCAGTGTTGGAGCAAAAAGAGCAGTAAAGCTGGGTGCCACCAACATATCGCGGAAATGTTGCTGTAAAGTTTCACATGACCATTCCCAGCAGTTTCATAGAGGGGCCATAGTGGAGCCCTTAGGGATGCTTCATAGAGGGGCCATAGCGGAGCCCTTAGGGATGCCAAAGGCTATGGTCCCAAACAAGGCCACATCAACGTCCGCTTCTGCATACTTTGCGACAGGAAGGATCAAATTACTGTTATCACAGGGCACCACTGTATTCCAGGCTAGCCAGGAAATGGAGCAGGATACCATGGTTAATGGTACTGAACGCCACTAGAAGGTCAAGAATGAATAATGTTGTGCTTCCTTGGATCCAGATACTCGACATCATTCAGAAGTGCTTGGAGTTGCAGAGCACCACACTCCCAACCACCTTAGCCCAAAATGGTAAATTTCAAACTAAGCCTAGAATTAATCAAAACTTCTGGGTCAAGGGCAGGCTTCTTTCCAAAAAGGTTCCATTATGGCTTCCTTTAGACAGAGAGATGGATCCTTCTTTCAAGGAAACATTTATGTCCTCCTTTAGTCATATTATCAGTCCCACTTGGGCAGATTTGATTAGTCAGGAAGGACAAAGACAAGCGAGCAGGTGGTAGTTCTGACCATCCACCGTGCCCATGTCCTTGAGAACCACAAGCTGAAAAGAATTGCAGCTAAAATGACAAGCACTTTCTAAAATGATGTCAAAATGGCCCGCCCCAATATAAGAGACCAAGCCAAGGCGAATCTGACGTTGTTTGCGGAACATGTTTCTAGTCTGCTTTGTGCAGATGCAATACTAGCAGAGACGTAAGATTTTCTTAGTACTTTCAGTGATGACAACTTCAAAGATGTTTCATCTGTACTATTTCATCTAGTAACAGTACCAGAATGTTTTAAAGGGTGGTTTTATAAAGTGGGACTTGAATGCAATAGCACCCTCCCACTCATTCTCTAGCAACACTTAGGTAAAGGGCTGCTACCTCTCACAGCTCTAATTAGTAGTCACTGAGACATAACATTCATGAATATGGGGAGGCCTCCAAGGCAATACAACAGAGTGGCCATCATGATGTATTCTAATAGTGCATCCCTTCCTTTATGTGCTGCATGATTTTGTTGTAAGCGAAAAGAGCTTCATGCAGGAAGGAGCAGGGGTAAAAATACATATCCAAACTATGTTCTGCCTTCTTACAGATGTTCAGAATCTATAATTTATAGGGATTATGAGAACTGTCAAAGAAATGTCATCTTTCTTGCTCGCACAATAACTCTACCATTATCTCTAGCCGCCTAGAGTGGTCACATTGACCAGATAGGCGAGGTGTAAATTGAATAAATACACAAAATAAATATCTACTGTAGAATTAATCACAGCTGTAGATAAGCATATACAGGTGTACCTCGGTTTACGAATTTAATGCGTTATCCGGAATGTTTCATAATGTGAAAATTTTCATTTCTTTCCTTACTCCCAATAGGCTTATTCTTCCTTACTCAAAATAGTTGGATCTACTCAGCTTTTTAAAACATCATCAAATACAGTATTTTTCCATTTATCTCTCTCTCTCTCGCACGCACACACACACACACCACTTTTCTAACCCCCAAATTAAGAAAACTTAGCTTTGAGGATTCAGCCTCTGGGCTCAGAACGGTCAGACATTTTGAGTCCCTGTTGAATCTGAACCTACAGGCCCCACCTCCAACAAGGTGTGTTCCAACTGGTTTGTTCAGAGAACACTCGGGCATTAGGAGTCCCTGTTGAATCTGAGCCTACAGGCTTCACCTCCAACCAGGTGTGTTCCAATTGATTTGTTCAGCATCACATCACATCAGTTCCATAAGGCTTGTGACTGGAGGAAGCTAAGCCTCCTTATTGGAGGCAACTAAGCCTCGTGCTTGAAGGAAGCCTGTTTGCAAAGCCAAAATATGGGCTGTTTTCTCCTCTCCTGAGCTATCTCAGCTTACATCCATGTAAAAGACACCCCTCAATTTTTAATGTAATGATTTTAGGGGAAAGTTGCATCTTATACATGGAAAAACAAGGTATTTTGATATTAAAAATGCCAGCACAGCTTAACATTAAAATACTGGAGTCAGTAATTCAATATATCATTCAGTATCTCTTACTTATCCTTACCAGTACAGCAAAACCCACAAATGTACTGCCAAATGGCTAGATTTAACTAATCCGGCAGTTTACAATTGAATTATGCAGACTGCACACTGCCCTTCCAAGCGAGCTGGGTATTCAATTCACGAACCTCAAAAGGATGGAAGGGAGTCAACCTTAAGTTGTCTGAGCCCACTGGGATCAAATTCAAGTTGTGCGCAGAGTCGTAACTGCAGTTTAACTACTGTGGCATCGGGCTTAGACATATGATTCTTACATTTCACTGATGTTGCATGGATCAAACTAAGGGCTCTCTTGTTTATAGCAAAAGGCTATGGACGGATGAAGTTGTTAATTTGTCCTCATGTCAGCCTAGATATCGCTTTTCACATTGGCGACATCTAGCTGTGTTCTTTTATTCTTTCAGCATGGAAAAGTTGTACTGCCAAATGGCTAGATTTAACTAATCCGGCAGTTTACAATTGAATTATGCAGACTGCACACTGCCCTTCCAAGCGAGCTGGGTATTCAATTTACGAACCTCAAAAGGATGGAAGGGAGTCAACCTTAAGTTGTCTGAGCCCACTGGGATCAAATTCAGGTTGTGTGCAGAGTCGTAACTGCAGTTTAACTACTGTGGCATCGGGCTTAGACATATGATTCTTACATTTCACTGATGTTGCATGGATCAAACTAAGGGCTCTCTTGTTTATAGCAAAAGGCTATGGACGGATGAAGTTGTTAATTTGTCCTCATGTCAGCCTAGATATCGATTGTCACACTGGCGACATCTAGCTGTGTTCTTTTGTTATTCTTTCAGCATGGAAAAGCGCAGTAAAGACGGATTACTTTCTAGCAAAAATGGAGATATCAAGTGTTGTACTTCCAACAAACCTAACCAAGAAGAGTAGTGGGCCACTGCTACTAAGGAAGACTGCAAAATAATTTTCTCCTTCTTGTCTTCATTCCACATTTTTTAAATCTGGCAGAGTTTAAAAACCAACCAAAACATTAGGACTAAGTGACCACAACAACTTCAGGAAAAATGACAGTATGGACTTTATACATCAGCATCATTCATTTCCCTACTGCCAGAGTACTGCTTGTGTCCTCAACAAAACACACAAACATCAGCCACATTCTCTTGCCAACAGTTGTAAGCTATTTATGAAAAACTTACTTCCAGTCTGGGCACAAAAAACTAGAAAACAAAACTTGGGACTGTTAATCTGTGCAACAGATAAATCTTCAAGAAACCCCTCAAATATCTGATCCATGTACTAGAATCTAACTTGATATCACAATGACCCAACTTTTGAAGGAGAGAAAACATTCTAGAACTTCTTCCTAGCAACAATCGCTAACTTCTATGACTGCAGGGCGTGAAAACACTGGTTCCTAGCAACAATCGCTAACTTCTATGACTTCAGGGCGCGAAAACACTGGTGGCGGCCATTTCGTGCACCCGGCGGCCATTTTGGAACCCGCGATCAGCTGTTTAAAAAAACATCGCAATGCGAAGATCAGTAAGCGAAACACTTACCGATCATCGCAATGCAAGTTTTTGCCTATGTAAACAATGCAATGTGATCGCTTTTGCAATCGCAAAAGTGACATCGCTATGCGGATTCGTCGTTAAACGGTGCACTTGTTAAGTGAGGCACAACTGTACATGGATTCCTGGAGTATTTTCTTTTCTTAGTCATATTATTCAGCATGTGAGATCCTTCAAACATATTTTAATAAAGACCTACTAGAGATGCGCATGAACCACCAGTTCAGCAGTATGTGCCAGTTTGTTTAGAGGCCAAACAGGTGTTCAGCATATCAAAGCCATGCCCTCCTGAAATGGGTGCCCACTGTTCAGCCGATAAATGAACCAGCACAAACTGCCAAAGCAGGGTAAACAGATTGAGAATAAAATCTCTGCTTGCCTTGGTATGGTTTATAAAACTGATAAGATTGGTAAATCGGCTGGCGCTTCCAGGGGTATACAGTAGACCCTCGACTTACAGACTTTTCGAGTTACAGACTTCTCTGGCCGCAAAATTTAGATTCGACTTGCAGCCGGAGAATCGACCTACAGACCAGAAAAAAACAAAACACCAAAATGGAAAAAAACGGAACAAAAATGGCTGGTTACTGATTAATCGGTTTTCAATGCATTGTAGGTCAATGGAGACTCCACCTAGACTTTTCGACCTGCAGCCACCATTCCAATACGGAGAGGGTCCACTGTACAGGAACAATACAATCTGTAGCACATGAATGTCACATACATTATTTGAAACGTTCAGAAAAATTAATTTAAACCCAGTTGGACTAAGACACACTTTCCCCCCACAAAACAGGGGGGTGGAAAGTCTGTGCGTCTTATGGAGCAAAGAAAACAGACTATATTTTCCTGTTTTCTTCTCCTAAAAAACTGGTGCGTCTTATGGAAAGGTGCGTCTTATGGAGCGAAAAATACGGTAATTTAAACCCAGTTGGATGTAATTATGGTTTAATGTCAAAATAAAAGCAAATTTAACTCATCAATAGCAGTTTGTCAGTACTATGACCAACTAAACTAATGAAAATAAAACGAAAACATATTTACAAAACTCCAAAGCCATCTCTGAACTGCCAGTTTCTCATGATACTGTGAAATACACAATATTCTCTTCTCAAAAGAAACCTTTTCATATATAGATAACCCCGGAATTTTTAGGAATAATTCCAGCTCAAATTTCCTTGAAATATTTACCTATCTCTTAAAATGACAACATCGTTATTCGGACAGAATATAGACTACCTAATCACCCCCACGAGAAGGGAAGGGTAAATAATGTCCGAGTATTCCCTACCTGGAAAAGACTGAAGAGTAACCAAAATTCAGAACTGATTTGAAAGCACACAATTCTTAGCTAGTTGAATAGCTCAGTGGTTTAGGTACAGTAGTAGTTCAGTTTGCAACTGCCTCTGTTTACGTAATTTTCAGTTTATAAACTGAAATCCATAAGAAATAAAGCCCTGGTTTATGTTGTTTTCTTTGTTCGCACTACCAAAAGGGTTTTCCCAGGGCGCACTGTGCCTACAGCACCACCCTTCGTAGTGCAACTGGCATTTCAGATTGTGAAATTTCCATACTATGTAAGGTCGCGTAGAACTGATCTGTTTCGCAAACCAAGGTACTACTGTATCAGAGCCGGAAGTTGGAGTTAAATTTCTCCAAGGTACCTCCTGTGAGTAAAGCCAGCCTGGATGGCCTTGGCTAAGCAACAATCCCAGGGTGACCCTCAGAAGGGAATGGTAAACTATGAGTATTCTCTACCTGGAAAACCGTTAAAAAGATCACTGTAAGTCAGAACTAACTTGACAGCACAGAATTATTAATCAACCTTTAGCTGACTAAACACATACTAGAATATAAAAGCATCACAGAACCATCTGTGTAACAGAAAATGAAGGAAGTACTATCTTGCATTCAATGGACGCTTCTTTCCCTCTGATCTTCAAGTTATTGCACCTTCAATAGCATTTTTCTTTGCCAAAGTGATATATCCTCTTAAGAATGCCTTGGTTTATCTTTATCATTTCAACCTAATACTTCTTTTTGTTTCTGCCTCTCATGACCAGAAATCTTCTGGATGACGTTTTCAGTACCATACACACAGACTGAGCAGATCTGATTCTTCCTGGGCTTCTCAGACGATGCCGAATCCTCCTTTTGTTTTTTCTTCATTCCACGATGATACTTCCAGGCCTTCCAATGAATCTCAGACGTTCCAGCTTTTTTTTTTTTTAACTTTCTAGATTAGCAGTTATTGCCAAGATGCAAAGAAGTACGAAGAAGAGAACCTCTTAAAGCTCATGCTCGATTTCGAAACCCCCCTCCTCCTCAGCTTTCTTTCTTCCCTCCCTCCCTACTCACGAGTTGGTGTGGAGGTACTCGAAGGTCAACTGAGCGCGCTGGAGGCTGCTGTAGTTGGAGAACGCCATTCCGTCGAGAGGGGGCAGGAAGCCCCGCCCACAACCTCCCTCGCGCGTGCGCGGAGGCAACCCTCCCTCCCGCCAAGCAGACGCGAGAGCGCGGCCACGCCCGACTTATTACTCCCCCCCCCGTCAGGAAATGCGGTTTCCTTTCCGGAACGAAGGTTCCAGAACCTCGCTTTTTTCTTTTAAAAAGGAGGGAGGCGCGCGCGCGCCGCCGTTTCTTTTTCCCTCTCACATCGCCGCACGGGTCGCGCGCCGACCCCGGGTTCCCGCTTCTTCTTCCCCGCGAATCTTATTTCTCGTCTGACGCCCTCCTTCCAATATTTTCTCCACAAACGTCCCCTCAAGTCCGTTCTTCTTGTCGCCTTATCTTGAGGCGAAACGGGGCTTCTTCTCTCGAGCCGGCGTCGCTTTCTTCTCAGTTCCCTCCCTCGCCTTTTTTTGTTTCGTTCTCTTTTCTTATCCGCCGCTGAGGTAAAAACTCTTTATGGGCAGCAACGCGCCCGTTTCAGCCCTTCCCGCGTCCTCCGGCCGCCGCCGCCTCCTCCTCAACCGCGCGGCTCCTTTCTCCCTCGCACACTGCGCTGAGGAGAAAAGAGGAAGGCAGGGCGGAGCCACCCTCGTCACGGCTTCCCCGCCATTGGGCCGGCGGGCCCACCTGACCCGCGGAACATGGCGCCACGACGAGAAGAAAGACCTCCTCGTCGTCGTCTTTTGTCTCTTAATTTGCGGTATCGGGAGCTGCGCGCGAGGGGAGACTCGGCTGCTTCTCCTCCTCCCCGCCTCTAAGTCGGACTGCGCGGCCGTTGGCGAGGGAGGGAAGCGGTTGGCGCCTGCGCGTTAGACTTCGCCGGGGGGTGGGGGAAGAGAATTATGCGTCTCCCTCCCCCCACAAAAACGGCCGCTTCCCGTCGAAGACTCCGAAGCGGTTTCCGCGGGAACTTCTGTGGCGCGCGGCGGAAGGAACCACTTGAGAGAGAGAGTAGGCGGGGGTGTGTGTGTGGGAGGTAATTTCTCCCTTCTTTCCTGGAGGTTCGCAACCGTCGGGAGGATGTATTGTTTCCCCTCCCCCTGTATTTCCGTTCGCAGCGCTTCTCATGACAGAAGCGCCTTCCTTCTCCGCCACGACTCTCTCTCTCCCCCCCTCTTCCAGCTATTCGAGTGGCTTCGTCCAGAGAAGCCATTTTCCTCAAGATGGTCGCGCCGCTCGGAAGAAAACGGCGTTACAAAATGGCGGCCGGGTTTTCGCTTCCTCCCCTCGCTACCCGCTCCACACGGATTCCTCTGTGCCTTTATTTGTTCATTTCAAGAAGTTGGGAAATGTTAGTTCCTTGTTGGGTGGTGTATTTCGTGTCGAAAATAATCGTGTGGAAATAATTTTTTTTTCAAACAGCTATTTTTTTCTCTTATAAACAACATTCAGTTCCTTACTGAAAAAGCCTAGAATTTATATTTGTGGAAATATTTCTTAAGCCTTTTTTTGGGGGGGGGGAGGATTAAAAAAAGGTTATATATTTTAGATTTTGGGGTGATTTAACTGGCTTCATCTGCTGAAGTGGACTTGTTCACGAAAGCTCACATCAAGAAAAAAATATAAAAGTGAGTCTAAAGTGCCATCATGTTTTTGTCTTTTTTAAAAAACCTTTTAAAAAATTTCATTCTCACCTATAATACCTGCCTTAACCTGTTAGATGGGGCAAAATAGCCTCCTTGTGGCACTTTTCCACAATGTGTCCTTGACCAAAGGGCTGGGCTTGAGGATCCCTGGGGTTCCTTGCAGCTCAAAGGATGGCCAATATTTAATATGTATATTTTTACCCCACCTTTCTCTTTAAAGGATCCAATACTGTCTGG